AAAAAACATATATAGTAATGCGGGATAGCATTTTTTTAATATCAGAGATGCAAAGAAAATGAATTCTAATTTTTAACATATTTGCAATCCAAAAACTGCAATGAGAATAGCCTGAGAAAAACTTACAAATGCTTACTATGCTTCATTGACACAATTTTTTTTTTTTTTTTTTTACCAACATCTAACCCCTTACGTTGTTGCCTTTTCATGATGTTTGCTCTTGTTTTCCTTTAGTTTTATTACAATTTTTTCTTTTTTTTTTTTCCTTGAGGATCTATGCATTGTTTTATGCCACAACCCTTTGTTTATATTTTGCTTGTTTTCTTCCTGCACAAAGTTATATCTGTAATAGACCTCTGTGGTTTGTGTACCTTCGTAAGTATTTTGAACACACACCCTTTATGTAGAATGGAAACTGAAAATTGATTACTTATCGTTTGTGTTTTCTTAATCTTTATTTCTAGTTTCAAGAAATAAAATAGGTCATAATAAAAATTTACTTGCTCTCTATTAATTTTGGAATGAAGTATTCACTTATTCTTTCAGTATTTTTATCTTCCCATTGTTTTGGCATGTAAGATATTTTGTATGAGGTCAGCTGGTGTTGTTTTAGCAACTCACAGTAAAATCTGTATAAAAACAATGAACCAAATTTTTTTTTTTTTTTTACTTTGCTCTGTGCTTTGCAGCTGGAAGACATGGAGAATATTCCATGCAAAATGTGCATTACATGCAAATATTCAATCAGAATGTAATTAAATTGGATGGATCCTCTTTGTAAAACCAAAATGATGATTTTATGTAATTTTGTGCATTGTTAGTAAATTGTTATAATGGTTTATTCATAAGAACATAAATTCCTTATTAAAATCTTGTTTGATCTAAAAAGCTACTGTTTCACTGACAAAGTTTTACATATTCTTTTCAGCAAGTATATGTACTTGCCTAAATGCTGCTTTGACTGCCAGTAATTAGTGGTAGTTTTTTTTTTCTACTGTCAGTGAATTTTATTTAATTTTTGCTTCTAATTTGATTTTCTGCTATGCTTTGAAACCATATTCACAATTGTTAAAAAAAATCAAATGCTTTCTTTTATTTTGTAGACAGTTTGCATTATATTATCATCAAAGCATATATGAAAGTAGTTAATCAGTAGTAGAAACCATTTAAAATTTGTACATATGACATAACTATTTCAATTATTTTATTTATTATTTTTTTTTAAATTTGTGGGCATTAAATTCAAATCTATGGTTTATGTCTAGTTTATATGATTAGCAATCATACCACCAATCTGGTAATGAAACCAGATAGCTGCTTTCATCCTGAAAATTAAATAAGATTGGATGGATTATTGTCAGATTGCTAGAATGATAAAAAACAAAACTTGAATAATTTAAAAAATAAATTATCTTTTAGTATTTATAACTTTTTTATATAACCTTCCAAACATTAAAGAAATATATATTCTTTTGAGATTATTTAACACTTTTCAGCTTTAAATAACTATATTTTCTATTTGGCGAAAATTCAATCAATAGAACAATGTCACTTTTTTTTTTATTCACAGTGCCTGTTTAACCAACTTAGATGTTTTGTTTTTTGTTGGGTTTTATTCTAACCTTTTTCAGTTGATTTTTTTTTTTTTTTATATATACTTTTTTGTATTGGATGTGAAAAATATATTGGTCTGTTATGAATTCATATTCGAGTATGTGAAAATAAAAGTATAAAGAGTATAAAATATTCACTATAATTTTAAGCTGTACATGAATATTCTCTGAGATAGGTAATTTTATTCTAATCACACTTTTAATTACTATTTTGTTTCTGCTATAGTCGATTCCGTGGTGGGCGTGGTGGAGGACGTTCCAGAGGTGGTCGTGGTGGAGGTGGACGATTCCGTAGTGGACGTGGTTCTCAGAGAGGTATGCGAGGAGGCAGAGGTCGAGGCGGCTCCCAGGTCAGCGGCAGTGGTGGAGGCACAGGCGGCAATGCTCCCGGGGGTCCGCCAGGCTCAGGAGGCAATCCCCAGTTGGTCAAACAGGAACTGGACAACCAATTGGATGAGTACATGTCCAAAACAAAAGCACATTTGGATGCAGAACTTGATGCATACATGGCCCAAGCCAATGAGAGTTGAATTCATTCATCATTTTAAGGCCACATCATTTTCTTCCCCCCCCCCCAATTCTCTCCTTTCAAAAAAACAAAAAGATTGTATTATTAACATGATGATGATGATATGAAAATCCTTTTAGAGATAAAATTGTGCAGCAGTGACATTTGATGGGGTAGGGGAGTTTATTTTAAGATAACTTTCATGATAATCTGACATAGAAACAAAACTTGTAAATGATGCTTCATGTTGTGAACAGTGAAGTTTTAACTAGAACACTGTTCTATCAATATGAAGTTCCTTTTTTCTTAAAGATTATCGTCTATTAATAATTTTGGATTCTCTATTCATATTCTATACTCCTCCTCCTCCTAAACTCACTAAATGATAAGACTAATTAGATTTGTAATATAAATCTTTTAGAACATATGAAAGTAGAAATTATTTTTAACTATTTCATCTAAGTTTCCTCCATTTTAGCTTCAGATGAAATTTTATTTGCTTTGACTGTTTTCTCTGTTAAAGCAAGGCAGCACATTGTTAGACCCCAAATTTTGATGTATTTACAGTATAACTAAAGTTACATGCCTCATTTGGATACCCTTTAATATCATCAAAAATCCATCAGTTATTGCCAACATTAGGATATAAATATGGATATTATACAGCTGAAACTAACAGAAGTACTTAAATTTTCCTGTTTTTTTTTTTATCCTGACTTGTTTAGACTATCTCCTTGACATTAGTCACTTTCACTCAGCATGTTAGTTGCTTATTTTGTCTGATATTACATCATCAATAATAATAATAATAATAATAATAGGGAGATCAATACTAATCTGTATACTAGTTTCACCTCTCCCCCACTTCTCTCTGTACATCTTCATGTACTTCTCTGGCAAGAAAAATATTTGATCATCATTACTTAAGAGAAGGAAAAATTCTAATCCACTCTGAACCTTTGTGGAATCTCAAAAAAAAAAAAAAAAAAAAAAAAAAAATTTCTGTCAAATATTAATATTTGAAACTATTGCAATCTCCACACCAACACTATCAACAACGACAACAGTTGGAGAAAGCGCTACATTTGCCAGTATTGTCACATACCTACAAAAAAAAGTCGAGTGAAGAAAGACAGAAATTCTCACTTGAAACCTGTTACAAACAATCATTTTCTCTCTATTTTAAAGAAATCTCTTTCAATCTTTCTATTTTACAGTAGAACTTTATGAACTCACCACTGGAAAACTTCATCAACAAAGTTATTTATTCTGGTCCATTTTAATGGAAAGACTCAGCTTTCTAATAGAAAGAAAAAAAAATCACTTTTAAATCTTTGGGTGTTTTGTTCTTATTTATATTTCTCTTTATTTTGATTGTCCATGTTTTATCTTGATGAATTTGCAAACATTTTGGAAATTTATAGTCATGACAACCAAACAAAAAATTATTAGGTTTTGGGATAAGGCTCTGAAGTTTGATAATTTAGCTCATTTACTGAGGTTTTTTTTTTTCCTTCTTCCTTACTCAGTAAATTGTAAATGTAACACATCCTGTTAACTTAAACATTTAGAGAAGCAAAGATTCATTGTTTATTTAAAATTCTGTGCATCAAGCAAAAAGAATTGACAAAAATAAATTAAGTCTACCTTCAAGCCTTATCTGAAAGGGATAAATGAAATAGGAGGAAATTGAGAGATGGATTAACTGAAAGAAACCAAATTTTAGCATCTTAATAGTGTATAATTTTAATGTAAACAGTGAAGGTTTTTTTTTTTAAACCCTTTTGTTTCTAATGCATGCTCTCCACAAGCAAGCATCATGCCTGTACCACCAATATCTTGTACTTTACTGCAGAAGGCCTTAGTAAAGATACTAAAAGTCAGAATTGAACTAATTATCTAGAAGACAAGCTTGGTAACACTTGTTCTGCAGTCATAGCCACCAATAACTAATCAGCTATTATATTTATAAGCAAGAGTCAGAGATTTAACTAGACTAAAATTAACCTGCAACTGAAGACTAGTTAATATAAAATGAAGCATGCCAATATAAATTTCAAGCAATACATATTCTGCCACTGATGTATATAAATATTTTATTGAACTTTGAAAGTTCAGAATAATACTAAAACTTTTCTTGGCAAGTTGCTTCCTTTTAAAAATAAATTTAAGACTTAAGGGGTCTCGGATATAGAATTGAAGATGGTGATTGCTTAAATAACTTATTTAACAACCACTTAAACTTTGCTTTTATACTCTACTCTTTAAGCAATCAATAGGTTCCAAATAGAAGAGGCATCAAATTTTTTAGCATCCTGTTTTATGAAATTACAATTGTGGGGAAATAACTGGTATAAATAAATCCTTAGAAGAAAAACACAAACTGTTAGAATGATATCAGTAAAACATGAAATAGCTATCACAAAGAGAAAAACACAGATTTTGTTTTTTTTTAATATATTTATTAGTGATTATCACAAGTCCTCCACCAAGGTGAGAGAAACTCAAAGTTTGTTGCAGCAGACAGTTTTGTTTTTTGACAGTTATTTAACAAATTAAAATGGAGACATAACTACCATCCAAGCAGAAATTTCTCACAATTTTCTGTAAGGGATGTTTGATTAATATTCTGCCTGGAGTAGATTTACAGATTGAATGGAGCCATGATGCACGTTTTGGTAAATATCTACATGCTATATAAGTAATTTATCAAAAACGAATGTGCAATTTCATAAATGGTTCCCACAAGAGCAAAGAATATTAGATCAGGTCTCAGATTCAATCCCAATTGTTTTTGTACTGGTCAATAGTTGTCCATTGCTCAAATATATTAAATGTACAAAAAGTCCAAAGGAGTATTGAAAAAGATGTTCAGCATTCTAAGACTTTTTATATTCTATTCTCTCCACTTTGACATCATCATTTATCAGTTTATAGACATAGGCAACTACCGTTGATTGTTGGATGTCCAAAATTACAAAAGAAGGAATGACATTTCTGGAAAAAAAAATTCAAGACAATGATTGGTACAAAACATTTAAAATAATTTTTTTTTTTCTTATATACAAAAGCAATCAGATATTTTAGTTTCATAATGTACTATAATGTTACTAAAGCTAAAAAAGAAAACTTAAATCAACTGATTTGTTGCAATATTTGCTAAAATCAAAACTTAAAAAAAAAAAAAAAAAGCTCTATCATTGTCATTATTTTTTTTTTTTTTTTTTTTTAAATGTACAGGGTAGCCAGATTGGGCCTTCAAAAATTAGTCCAAAGCAAATAAATTTTTCTACTTTAAACATAAGCCATGCTACTAATGAAAAGAAAATCAATTCAAATTTAGTAGCATTGGGCTTTCCAACTGTTACCAAATCTAGCAAATGACAGCTTTATAAAAGCTTCTGTTTTTGTGAAAAGTAAAACACTGCTTTAATATTTATATTTCCCTGCTACCCAATAAAAGATTAACAATTAAAATGGTTAACAGGTGGGCATGGTAACAGTATGAAAAAAAATCATGGCAGTTCATTATTCTGACATCAGTGTTGTAGAATTCAACCCAAGAAAGAAGCACAATCATCTAACACCAAACAATTTACTAATTAGCAAAAATGACTATTCTCTAGAATCCTCTCATAAATAAAATAAAACTTGCATTAAGGTTTCACTGATTTAAACTATTATAAAAATGAAGTAAAAATTCAGTTTAAAATAATCCCCCTCCGCCAAAAAAAAAAAACACCTATTCATATCACTTGTGTCAAATCATGACTAATTCTCCCTGTATCCCTTAGCATAACTTGATCTCATCTTCTCACATGCACAAGACTAAATAAAGAGCACCAAATAAATTACCACATCCACTCAGGCAACATCAGTAAAACCCTTTTTTCAGTTATGACAAGCTAATGCATGGCTGCAGATTGCATGCATATATATATATATATATATATACACACACACACACACACACAACTAGTAATTAGAACAGATTACAATTAAAACAATACTAAATACAAATTTAGTTATCACTCATTTTCAATGTTAAAAAATATTTTCCTGTATTTCATATAAATCATAAATAATATTAAAAGGATTAAGATAAAAAAAAAATCCCCAAAGCATGTATTAGGAGAATGAGACTGCCTTTTATAAAATCAGAAATAATTTTCATGATAAAAAATGTAATAAAAATTTTTAACAGATGTTCATTTAAATCTGTTGTGCTTAGAATCAAAGAAAGTAAAAAAGAAAAGAAAATACAAACTTTTCTGATGCACTATAAGCTCCAGTAGCAGAACCAGGGTTGATATAAAATTTGTTTTCATGCTCAAAGGCATCAAATATATGGGTGTGGCCTGAAATAAGAATGTCAACATCCAGCTGTCGTTGCACCATTGATAAGCTATCTGTTTCTCCCCACGGCACCACTTGGTGTCCATGGCACAAACCAATCCGAAATTGTCCAACAGTTACTACTTTTTGCTCAGGATAGTTTAAATTCTGAAGAAGAAAAAAAAAAAAAAAACTACAATTAAAACAATTTAATACATTGAATGTATATTAACTCAAAACCAGTAGACAAGTTATTTCACTAGAAATTCCTTTGGAGTCTTTTGTATTAAATAGGATACTTTTTTCTTTTTTTAAATTATTATCAGACACTTTTATTTTGATTAGCATTCTCATCTTTGTTATCATTATCAAAATATTTTGGCTATTGAACCCTCTGATTTTCTTCTGGTATCTGTCATAATTGGCAACATGAGGAATTTTGAACTTTATTCAATCTATGGAAGTAGATTGTTCTCATTTCACTAGCCATATTAGTGAGGATATCTTATAGTCTACTTAACTTGTCTTTGTTATGTCACTTGTCTCTCCTACTGAACCAGATTATATTTCTTGCACTACTCAACACAGTCATTGGAGAATATCTCTGTATGGACACAGTACTATAATAATGGGGAAAGGTATAGTTAAAGAATCATATGAAAATCTAATAATAGTAAGGTTTAAAAAAAAAAAAAAAAATGCTCATTTTTTATAGGATAGTGCACACACACATGTATACACAGTTAAACATGTTCTATTAAATAGAATAGTTTATTGAGCCTTGTGAGTTTGTCCTGATGTTGGATTAGTTGCTTCATTTCAGATAGAAACTAGTAAACAAATTGCTAAAATTAAATCTGACTACTGTCACCTATTGTCATGGAAACAAAAAAGAGATTGGCTACTTCTGGATCTTCAATCTTGATAAAATATAAAAATAAACTTGCTATTCATAACAGCTCTATTAAATTGCACTCCTCAAACTAAAAAATTATGTAAATTGTCAAAATAAATATCAGAAACCTGAACAATATGTAATAAGCAACAAGCATTAAATAAATTTGATTCAATTTAGAAACACATTAGATATATTTCATTTAAAAAAAAATACAACAAAAACACATGACAGAGACTAATGCATAAAATAGATTTCAAACTAAATACTTTTAATGAAACAAGTATAAACTTTCTTTCACACTGGCTTATGAAAGTTGAATATACTCAGAATTTAGATAATATATATACATTGATTTTGATTAGCATGACTTTCAAGATAACAGTTTATTAATTATAATCTCTTTATTTAACAAAGAAATATGGAAAATATTTAACTTAAAATTTTTAAGTCCAGAGACATCTTTCCACCGAGTCAGATGTCCTATTTAAATTAAGATGAAGCAATAAGGGTTATTTTTCTGTTTCACAATGACATATACAATTTCCCTTATTTTCTTTAATTTAGAATATTTTCCTCATTAGATAGGAAATGGATAAGCGGGAATATGAAACCAAGAGTATGTCTGTTAAAGCAGAAACTTAAAAAAATTGATAGAGGGAAGTAAAAAGAAAAGCAGCACATTGCTCATTTAGATTGAAAACAGAAAGAAAATTTTATAGGTGGTTAAGAAACAAACAGGATTAAACATTAGAATTAAACATGAATCTCAAAATGCTGATCAAGAAGTGAGAAAGGAAACAAAAAATTCTCCAATGTTTATAACATTTCTCTATTTTAGAAGTTTATTCTTCAAAAAAATTGCAAAAGAAGGAGAAAAAAAAACAAAAAAAAAAACTTCCCGACTATAAAATATTAAAAGGCAGACTCAATTTTCAATTTTAACAAGAGAAAATGCTGATGGTAACTAAATTAAAACCATTAATAATCATAACTCAAAATCCAAGAACATAACCAATCATTTCGTGCTCAAATAAAGCATGGATGACAAAAGTGTTTTTTTATGTTAATTCTTAACATGATTTTTGTTTGAACAACCACATGTCTAGATATGCTGACTTAATTTCTGATAACTGTTGGTATGCTGGTGCATTTTGAAAAATTGCCATGTATGAAAAACCAAATGGGTAAATAAGTAAAAAATTTTATTTTGTTTATTTTTTTTTTTTTAGTGGTATATTAAAAAGCTCAAAAGTTTAACAAACATACCCCTGTAGAAAAAAAAGTGTCAAAAGGATGGTTTTTCTCTTGATAATACTGTATACTTCCTCAGTCATTTTTATTGTTTAAAAAAGACTATAGAATTTTAATAAAAACCAAAGATGAAACTATACAATTTTTTTCTCAACATATACCAAACCACCTAGTTCATGAAAATGGGTCAAAATAGTGAAATTCCTTTCAATTTCAACAACTGATATATCATTTATTTCCAAGGCTATTTTGATAAAATTAAATATGTAAGCAAAGTTTAATCTTTTCTCTTTATGAAGATACAATTCTTTCCCATGTATGATATTTAATTTTTATTCCATGTCTCTTTAAATTGTCACTATTTGAATGACAGGCACTTTTTATGCATTTTCAAAATTGACAAGTTCATACTGGTATTTTTCAAACATGTTGCACTGCAAGTTATGTCTTACTACAAATCAAAACAGTCTTAAAAAAAAAGTCATAAGAAAAAGGACATTCATCAATTTGGTGGGCATAAGATAGGATTTAAACTTGTATTTTTCAAAAAATTTCTAAATTTAATGCGTGAAATACCAGAGAAATTCAGCTCTCTAAAAAAAAAAAAATGTAATTTGCACCTTCTTGTAGAGCAATGTCAACTTTATAATCAGTTGGTTCCATATCTCTAACCATGCAACACAAGGCATGCATGAATCTAAATGTGGGTGTACTGTGGTCATTATGTGCAAAACTTGTGAACACATTGAAATTGGTATTGCTGACCAAATGACATCACTAGTTGAACCCCATTTTAAAACCAAGTAGATATTACAATTGAAATCTTTTTCTGGTATTTTCTTTAATGATGCATTTTAAAAGTGTTTAAAGTAATTATTCATTGTATTTTGTCCAAACTCGCTCTGAAATCACTTTTGTTACAGCTGAAAAAAAATATTAAACTGAATTCATGATAAAATAAACTGGATATACTTTTAGTCCTTTAAATTTCACATTTTCACATTCTCTGTTAAAAAAAAAAAAAATATTAAAAAGCATCCAGTTTTCCTTTTAATGACAATTCATTTCTTTTATATTTGCGGCTTTATTCTCTAATTCTTGTGATTTGGAGGTTAATTTGAAAATTTATTTATATTTTCTTTTTAGAAAAATGAAACTAGACATATTTTATAAAAATAAGATAAAAAAGGAACTGGATATATGCTTATAAAATGTTCATTATATGTTTAAATTTTATTACAGTTCTAATGATCTTTTTAAAAACACATTGCCGAGGGGTGAAGGTAGTTAAAATAATAGTGGTGTTAATGGAAAAATCATCCTTTTAACACTACGCTTTTTTTGGGGGGGTGTTGCAGGCACAAAGGTCGAAGTTTACAGAGTTACCCTTCTCAAAATTATTGACCTATTGCAAAAGTAACTATCAAGATATTTTTATATCTCATGCAAATCTTACTATAATTCAACAAGTGTCTGTTTTGCCCATCTGTTATCATAAATCAAGTACAGCTAGAGCTGCTTTTATATGCCATGTCCCTTCAGGACAGATGATCATGGCTCTCCACAACTTCATGTCACTTGTAGCTCTAAACAATGTTTGGCTCTTTACCAACCTTTGTCCTTGCTCTGCTATTTGCACAAATTAATTTAGTTGCCATTTCCTTTTACACCTGGGAGTGTTAAGTTTTCCAAACCTTCTTTCATTACAATGAGTCCCAGAAATTTCAACTGTTTTTCTGATTTTAAGTATAAGTGTCCTAGTTTTCCATTTTTTTTAAAACTTCTGCACTGCTTACATGTTCAGTCCATGGTATTCTCAGCATCTGCCTGTAGAACCATACCTGTTGCTTTAAATCTCCTTTTCATATGTAAAGAAATAACCCAGCATTCACTGCTATATCAGAGGATAAATTTCCTATGTCTTAATACTTTGCTTAGTTTCCAGAAGGCATTTTTCACTATTTCAATGTGTCTGGATTTCTGTGTCATATTTTCAATTGTTACTACACTACCCATAAAGTTAAATTTCTGTACCTGCCCAATTCTGATGTATCCAATTCAAAAGGTCACACCTTTGTATCTTTCAATCATTCATTCTGTCTTCTTACAGTTAATCATTTCTTCTCATTTTCCTTTTGCTATCCTGTGAAGGAGTTTTTGTAGTCTTCCTTCTGGGTGTACCATCAACACAATGTCATTTGCATATCATATTATTAAGATTGTGCCCAGCAATAATAAATCCTGCTAAGTCTCATCTTTCTATCTGCATTCAAACAGTTTGTACCCAGTAAATGTACAGAATTATTCTAATATCTTTCCCCTATAAGCCGAGTTTTCCTAGTAGATCAAACAGATCTTTTGTGTCATACCTTATCAAATGATTTTGTATAATCTATGAAACATAGGTTTGGTTTGTTTTGTTTTGTTTTACGGCATATCAACCTCAATGGGTTATTTAATGCCAACAACTTTTTTTTTCCTGGTAATATTTTTGTTTTGTCAAAATTATATAGCTGGTAATAGCTTTTTTTTTTTTCAAAAATTTATTTCTGGTAATAATTTTTTTTACAAAGTATTTCTGGTATTAAAACCTATTTTTACACTTTTTACCTCAGTTTCGGGATTAACTATTTGCCCATAGCTTGGACCCTAACAGGTGCTACCACCCCGGGTCAAGGTGGACCTGGGAACACCAGCAATTAAGAAATGGTTCCACTCTCCTCAAAGCCTCCTGATCAGAGGCCTTGCTGTTAGATGTAGTTCATCGTCATACCCAGGACGGCATATGAAACATAGGGATGGCCACTAAATTTTCTATTGTTACTAAAGGGACTCTGGGCATACTTTTAGCATATTAATTTTTGAAAATTTCCAAACATTTTTTTTAATCAATGGTTCATATTAAAATATAAATATAATGCTAAACTGATTTCTTACTGTGTGCAATCAGGTGACCTAAACCCTTTTATCTTTTTGTTAACCTTTAGCACTCTGCATTATTAATATCACTACCCTTTCCACTGCATTCTTTTTCAAGTATCCTTATTGTTAATTTCACTCAAAGTTGTTTTCTGTTGACATATGACAACATAACTATGAAATTCAAACACTTGTTCAGGGATCAGTCACCTTCAGTGGCAGGAAAACTTTTTTGTACAGCAAATGAAGTCATACAGTGACACAGGTTTTAAAGACAAAGTAGACACCAAGCTGAAAAATTTCCTATTTAAAGCTATGACATCTAAAGACGCTATTTAACCTCTTGATGACATTAACATCCCAGTTGTCACAAAAAAAAAAAAAAAACATAGCTGTGTTATACTGGTGTTTATTGCTGCAATAAAAGTTCAGTAGAATTCTAAATTTCCTGCTTACTACCAAAAATATAATTACCTAAAGTCATTCATAAAATTCCTCCAAGATATTAAAAGTGTTCATGAGAAGGAAGATTTTCCAAAGATCATAATTAGACTTTCCACATAAAATTGCTTAAGAATCATAGTTCCTGATATTAAGTCGTGACAGTTTCCCTTAAGCAACCCTGTATTCAACCCTGGCTATCAGGACTCATTTACAGAGTGGAAAGTAGGTGTAGAAGTTTGGGGATTATTTACAAAGGATGAAAACTCTAGACACAGTCCTGCAGTTTATTTAAGCATAGATGGAGATGCTAGAGAAGCTGTTCATTCAATTGGTACTATAGAATTTGCAGCAGATGATGGATTTGAAAAAGTGATTGCTACCTTAGATGCTGTTTACCTAAAAGATGAAACTATGCTCTGCTACCAATGTTGAGTGATCTGTCAGGGATTCACCAGACAAATGAATATACACTCTCTGGAAGAAATACCATGAGCTTATATTGAGATTCATGGCAGAACTCATTACAAAGAGCAGGTGAGATATGCTTTGTTGTTGGATTAGTCTTAGTTTCTATTTGGTGGTGGTTGTGAGTTCAATTCCTGTGCTGGGCAATACAAATATATAGAACAAGAAAAACCTGTAGAATAGGTCTTCAGCTAGAACATATTTTTTAAACAAAATCATTAATTCTGAGACTTTTGAGAAAGTAAACAGAGGACATGGTTTAATTTTTTTTTTTTTTTTTTTTTTTGAAGAGATATTGACTTTAGTATAATACTAAATGTCCATAGTTTTTACTATTATTTTAATTCTAGTCAATCTTTTTATGGTTACTTTTATGACAGCAATCTATGTTGTGAAGCTTTTTGATAAGAGCAAATAATGTGAAGTTAGAAATAAAATAGTAGTTTTAGATGAGATCTGAACCTCCCAGGAACCTTTCATGGATGCTATCTTAAACCCATCAACCATAGAATTTAAGAATTAAGCTGGGTACAAACGTTCTGTCAACTCTGATTTTGTATAAAATTTCCGTTTCATTACCTAGTGAAAGTTTTAAGTCATTTGAAATTTGGATTTTTTTCTTTTTACTTACTTCATCAAAATCTCCTCGTACGACATGAACATCACTAGCCAACGTCTTTAGATAATCAAATGATTCTTTCGTACACAGGTTGCCTGTACACAGAATATGTTGAATCTTGCCAGGTACTAATAATTTCTTGAACTTGGTAGGCATGCTATTACAGCGATGAGGGATATGGAGATCGCCAAGAACTAACACCAACTGAAACAGAAGAAAAACAATGAGAAACATTTTCATATAATAATAATAATGCTCATTTCAATTAAGTTTATAAGTGATTAAAATTTTGCTTGCTATATGTTTATCCATTTGGCAACATATGATCTATATAATTGTCAGTATGAAAAAAAGAATTGTGATATTGGTTTATGTCAAAAATATATCAAGTTGAGTAATACTGTTGTGTGTTTGAAGAAAATTTTTTTGGCATATTGAACTTTTCATATAATGCCAATTACTTCAGGTGAACAAATATATTTTAATTACTTCTTACAATTCTATAAGTATTTCTTGTCTACCTCTCCAAAAAGAAGTCGGTGAATCAATGTGGAGAATATGCGACATTATGAAGTAATAACTACGAACAAAATGATTTAGTTAACAGTTAAACTAAGTCAAAACGAATAGTAAAGTGATGCTTAAATATTTAAAGCAATGGTTCTTGCTTTTTCAAATAACAACACCCTTAATGCATAAGGATTTTTCATGAAATTCATAACGAAAGGCACCATAGTTTTTTCTTACCCAAGTACTTTCAATCTCCTTGATCATCCTCAGGTGAATTACAAAGACAAACTTATTGTAACTATTGCTACAACAGATAAATTTCAATTTTAAAATAATTATAACAGTGCGTTCACATTTAAAAAAAAAATAATCACTATCAGAATGGTTAGTTACAATAAGTTTGTCTTTGTAATTCACCCATGAGAATGATATCAGAGGAGATTGAAAGTACTTGGGTAAGAAAAAACTACAGTGCCTTCCTTGATGAATTTCATTTTAACATCAAGAAACTGGTTAGAGAACTAGAAAGGATTATTATAAAAATAGACATAATATGTCTATATCATTCAATGAAACATGTCTGAATGAAGATATGCTGCATATATGTGTGTGTGTGGGGCAGTGTTTTTGTAGATTGCACAGTATAGTAGGGTCAGTTAGTCACAATCAGTGAGAAAAGGAGCACCATGATGCAATTCACTCCACTGGAAATTGGGAAACAGCATGCTGTACTGCATGGCATTCATGTTGAAAGCTCCAATACAAACATTTCAGAGTGTTTGGGTATCAATTTGAGGACAGTGCAAAGGATTCAGAAAGAATTGGAGGAGTCTAATGGTGATTACAAAGGTAGGGCAACTCAGAAAACTCATTCTGATAAGAAAAGAACACCCAAATTTGTTAGTGAGGGCCTCAAACTCAACACAGAGGCCTACATCATGCCTTGAGGAGGTAGTGCTGCCTTTGGTCAAGAAGATGGCTGCTGGAAGATCCTATGTCTGGCAACAGGAGAACCCAGTCATGGCTGTCAGACTATTTCTACAACTACATCACCCCTTACATCTGGCCACCTAACTCCCCAGATTGCAAGCCCCTTGATTATTGTGTGTGGGGTGCAGTGGTGGGAGAGACCAACAAAACTCCTTGTCGCACCAAAGATGAACTGAAGGCAAAGATTATGGCAGCATTCACCAACTTAAACAAGGAGAATGTCCAGAAGAGTTGCAAGAGATTCCCAAGTCATCTAGAGGCCATGGATGGAGACAATGGTGATTTTATTGAATATATTTACTCTTTAATATTTCAAGATATTTTTGTGTAATTTTGGTAAATATGTTAAAATGAATAGTTATTTTCATTTTTGTGTAATTTAGACAATTTATCAATTGCATCCTGTATATCATGTATATATCCTATGTATTTTAAACTGTTTTGACTGAATTTCACCTTTATTTCTTTTAAAAAGGGTTTGTTTTGAAGAAAAGCAACTTATCAAATCAAGTGAACTGGGCCATCAATTTACAATGTAAAGGTATAGTTTAGCAGATATTTACATTGTAACTTGAACGTCAGATGTTACAAAGAGAGACACAAGTAAATGTCCAGTGTTATATGATATCCAACTGGAACAAAAATTCTGTCCGATTTTACTGTGTCTATTACAAATGAAGATAATAATATAGCAACATTTAATTATCAATATAATCTCTATTGCTACCTAGAACTTTATTTCATTTGTCAACAATTATATATATTAAAGCTGCCATGTTCGGGAAATTCTTTAGTTTTTGATTTAAAATGGGAGACCAATTCATGTTCAACCTCTTCTCTATATCTCAACCTTAGGCCATCCAAATGGTTTTGCAAACCCCTAAACAAGTAATCATCAGAAAGAGCAAGGCCAGGAGAAGATGGAGGATGATGAAATTTTTCCCAACTGAGCTCCTCTAAGAGATCTTTAATCAGTGTGAGGATAGGCATTATTGTGATGGTGGATTAAGCTCTTTCTGTTGACTAAGGATGGATGTTTATTGTTCAAAGCTCTTTCAGACAAAGTTGTTGGCAGCATTGTTTGATTATTGTCTAACAGTTCATAATGGAGGATTTCTCAAATATTTCAATCTACATGATCTTCAGATGAAGTTCTCTTGATGAAAAGGTCTGTTTCTTTCACTGATCCAATAATGATGATGCTTAACATTATGGTAAAGGATCTATTCCTCATTACCAGTAACAAATCTGCTGAAAAAGGTCACTTGATGTTGCCATGTAAGCAATGACTGTTTGTTTGTTTAAAACTTAACGACCCATCGATCAGCAAGAGATCATTTAAGGTCAAACAGTTGTGTTTTGTTTTTTCTTTTTCTTTAAATAAGGTTGAAATGCTTTCAAAAAGACTTTCCCTTTCCTTTCCTTCTTTTTTCGATGTTGTCTTGCTTTTTGTTTTTAAAAGATCACCGTTTTCAGAGGTGCGTTGTTCTTTGAAAATTTCTCACCTGGCAAGTATCAAAGTTTCCCCTTTCATCATCAGACACCAAATTGGAATTATATTTTATTATATAGTCCAACTTTCCTAAGAAAGTTCAAGATCAAATTGGAGTTTGATTTTTCAAAAAGTTCTTTCAAGAAGCAATGACTGACAACAACACCTTGTTAGTGATTCCCTGGAGACAGGCCATGTGTGACTCACTTTCAAACCCTTTTTAATTCATGTAGGACTGTCATATGAGAAAACCACCTTCTACAACTTATTTCATTTAATGCAATGACCCCATGAGTGAACTGGATGGATTTTGCTGCTGCACTTGCATTGACACTTTACGAAACTCAGAGTACAATATTTCTAATAAGTTCTTTAGTTGAGACAAACATAGGACAAGTTCTGAACTATATTATGAATAATATTCTCATAATAATCTGAAAGGAAACTATATAAATTACTCATAGTAGCATTACTAAACAAAGAGATAATACTCTAATAAATTTTGTTCAATATTTTTCATCTAAAAAAAAAAAAAAAAAAAAAAAAAAAACAGAACTTTTGTTCTAACCTGATACATACATTGTAAATCAATCCCCCATTTTAGAGCCAATTCACTTGCTTCCTCTATAAAAGTAGTATATAATGTAATAACATTTTTTACTATCTCCTGATGCCCTTGGGAACACACCAAAGTGTTATGACACACACTTTGGGAACCTCCAATTTCAAAGTTAGGCTTATCTTATTGTTTTCTTAATTCAAAAGATACAAGGTGCATTCCAGAAGTTTTGAGACTTTATGAGAGGCAATTATAACTGTCATAGATTATTGTAATTTTAGTATATCATTTCTGTACTTCTAATAAGCTCACCTGCCAAATTTTGTTCTTCCAGATTGAAGAAGATAGCTGTAACAGCTCTTTGAACACACCCTAATAAACACTGCTTGTCCTAGCTGATTAATTAGCAGAATGTAGTCAGGACATGAAGACAATTTGGAAACTCATAATCCAATAAAGCTTTATGTTGACAGAGATGGGCATCAAAACAGTCCCTCATCTTCCCTACAGTCCAGACCTTGTTCCCTGTGACTTTAGATGGTTCCCCAAACTAAAGGAGAATCTCAGGGATAGACATTTTGAAGACATTGAGAAAATGGAGACTATGACAAGGATCCTGGACACCTTCACTTTGGATGACTTCCATGGGACCTTCATGAAGTGGCTGGATGACTACAACAAGTGCATTGAAGTCAGAGGATTCTACTTTGAAGGAATTTAGAGTTTTGTATGTCTTTGAAATTAATAAATGTCTCTCCTGAAATTGTTTTTAAATTTTGGAATGCACCTCATATTTGGTTCTGTTTGTTCTGTTTTTGCTATAAAAAGAGTATTGAGTTTTAACAAACTTCATTCAAAAAGGTTGTTTTTTTAATTGTATTGTAGCAGTTGTCATGGCAACAAAGATGAGGACAATAGTCCAAATAATGTAAATAGTGTACGTAATGCCTCATCTCAGAAATATAGACAGATACATTATAAAATGTGTTTTATAAAATGTAATGTTTGTTTTTGGGCACTGTTAAGCTTTGTGACCCCAATAAACTAATTAAAAATATTCACTTGTCTACATGCATATTTAAATTCAAAATGTGCCATATTCCTAAAATGTCAGGATAAAGTTTAACATTAATATACCAGATAATGACTATAGGTGGTTGAAAGTATAAAAATAAATATAAAATTTCTCCATAAATTCAATTTAGATGTGTAACAATACACAAACTTGAAAAACACAATGAAAAATTAAAGACAAACATTGTAGGTTGATTTTAATAAAACTTATTTCAATGAATTTTTGCAGCTATATTATTTATTTTAGGATATTAAAACAAAAACGTTAAAAATCACTACAGAATTACAATTACGTTTCAATACTACAAACATGTCTCCTCAGGCAATGGTAAACTACTGGCAAGTGAATGATTATTTTAAATTTCAAAAACGGAATACTACCTCTTTTTTTCTCGAGAAAAAACAAAAAATAAAATAAAACAGAATTAAACATGTGCTTGTGGGCTTCACCATGATTAACCATATTTAGTTCTACTTTGTATTGAGCCCTCTTTTAAATTAAATGTTATAGACAGTGGAATTATACTCCATTTGTTCTCATATTGTTTTAAATATGCTATTTTGTGGCATGCATTTCTT